TGAAATTGAGAAACGCCTTGAAATCTGAAACTTTTGGAGGATTGTGTTGGTGGGGGACATGGACGCCTAAATAATGAAAGAAACAAGAGTTGTGCTGGGTGGGGGCTTCCGCCAGGCACCAGCCGAGGAACCCGTGGGGAGGGGTGAGAGCAGGAAGGCTGGCCTTCCCGGAGGTGGCCCACAGGCCGGTGCGTCCCCCCAGGCTCCACAGACCCAGCTGTGACTCTCTCTTTTGGTTCTGACGAGGTCTTGTGGGTGACCCGGACTTTGGCCCCAGGACCCAGGTGGGAACCCCAGCTCTGCCGTAGCCTGTTGTAAGTCACCTAATGGAAGCTCGGATTCCCAGCAAGCCCTGAGGCTGGGCTGGAATTTTGCTGCCCTGGGCCGTGTGCAAAGCTGCCCATGGCAACTTACCTACCGGAATGTGCTCAGCCTGGGTCAGCGACACCCGGCGGAGGCGATGGGCTCTGCGACCTCTGGGAGTTGGACTGTGGACAGAAGCCGTGCTGTTCCAGGCAGCCCATGGGCCCCATCCTCGAGACCCTGCTCCTTTCCTCGGGGTGGGCTGCTGCTGGGCAGAGTCCCGATGACAGGCACCAAGCCCCCCCAGCCTGAAGGTGGAGGCTGCCGCCCTCCACCTGGCACATGCACCCGGGGCTCCCTCTACTCAGCAAGAGGCGGCCTCCAGGCCCCTGCTGGGCTCTGGTCCCTGGTCAGTGCACTGCAGACACACTTTCTTCCGTCCTTGCTGTCTGAATGTCACCTCTATGTCCACACACGGGCTTTTACGGACACCCTTAAAGGGATCCCAGTGTCTTCCAAAGGCACCTCCTTGCAGCACCACTGTGCGCTGCCGTCTTCAAGCCCAGGAGCTCCAGGTTGCTCCCCAGGTCCCGCGGGACCGGCGAGTCTGTAACGAGCACCGCCCATCTCCGGGACTGAACTACCAAGGCTTCACCACCAGCCGCGGCTCCGCCATCCAGGCTCAGGAACCGCACCCGGGGACCTCAAAGCTTTACACAGGAGTCTGGAAGTTTCGACTATTTCTAGGGAGCCTACCCCAGTAATTCACAGACAGGTGAAACACAGAAATACCAAGAGGGTATGTTTGCAAGGAAAATAAAAGAAAAATCTAATCAAGTGAGAATATAGGTTTGGATACATGAATATGGACCACTGGGAATGGACATGATTTAAAAGGCTGAGATTAAACATGTAAACACACTAGGTTGGATTTGCCTGAAGACATTTTGGGGACCAAATATATAGAATCACAATATCCACATTAAAAGACAGAAATGTTTTGCTTTTTCAAGAAGGCAGAATAAAAGTAGATTTAATGAAAAGATGCAACCCTCCATGATAGTTTAAAAAATAAAAAGCCTCATATATTGTTTTTAACCCTAATCCTGGCATCAGGCCAAGCATCTTACATGTTTTAACATGTTAAATCCTTATAAAACTCCAGTGTTGTATAATACTATTAATATACTTAATTTACAGATGAGGAAATTGAGATTCAGAGAGGTTAAGTAAGTTACCTGAGGTCACACAGTCAGAAAGAGATTTGAAGCCAGGCCTGTTGAATTCTGCCACTCCTCCCCCAACTAGCACCCACGCACAGCCTAAACATTCCATTCCCAAACCCACTGGGCATGTGCTCATTGTCCCCAGAATGTAGCAGGCGATTTGAGCCTGTACTGAAGTTGATTTCAAGGCTCAGCTTAAGTGCCATCAAACAGAAATCTTCCTTGACAGACAGACCCCCAGGACCCTCTTGCTGCCCTCCTCCCCCCTCTCCTCTTTGCCCTAAGCTAGAACCCCTCGTACCCTGGGGCTCTGAGTTCCATGAGGACCAGAACCCTTTCTCTGGAAAGCCCTGCAGTGCCAGCCACCAGCCCCCTTCTGAGGGGGGCAGCAGTCACCTGCTAGAGGGCTGAGGACTGGGCTCGTCGGCATCTTTGCCCCGCGTGCCAGGGGCTCCCTCCTGTGGGAGCACGTGACACGGTTAAGACAAGTTCACTGTCACGGCTCAGGGGTGCCCTGGCATCTGGCCAGCGAGACCAGGCATGGGTCCCCGGCGCCCTGCCCAGAACCACCCACCACAAAGTCTCCCAGCCCAGAGGTCAGCCCTAGCGGCTATGGTACATCCATCCGCCTGTCCCCGCGTGGCCCCCAAGGCCGCCTGGTTTTGCCTCGCAGCACCCAGCATGGAATGGGTGGACCAGCCCGGGACGGAGACTCATTAGCTGAAGGAAATGTCTGCGTACTGAATAAAGCGGCTGACCCCCAAAGGGAGAAAACGAGAGCTCAGGGCACAGCATCCCCGACGGTCCCTCGGACAGATGCAGCCGGGAGGCCTCTGCACGGGACAGGACGTCTGAGGCTGCGGTGGCACAGTCCCACGCTGAGAGGGCTCCTGAGAGGGCTTGGAGAGCACCCTTCCCACTCTGGGTGGTGGCCAGCCGCTGCCGGGCAGGAATTTCCTGTCAGCATTGAGCACAGCGGGTGGGCGGAGGGAGGGCAGGAGCTCCCGCAGGGAAGTGTCCCGGGCTGGTCCCTGACCTCAGCTCAAAGAGACCCAAGGTGGGAGAGGAGACTACAGCGTGCTGGGTCTGCAAGTCCACTCTCTCCTGGGCACGGTGATGCTGCAGCGGGTACTGACCACACTTTAATCCCCAAAAGACCAAGTTTCAGGAGGCCAGTGTAAAGCAAGGAGAGTCCCCGAATGCCAGCAGCAGCATGAGGAACATCTCAACAGGAACAGCTCAGCCACCCTACAGAGTGGGGACATGGTGTGCCATGTTGGAATGGCCCCTCCAGAGAGGTCAGATGGATGTCGGTGAAGAGGGGTCTGTGAACTGGGAGTGTGGGGAGCACTTGGAGCTGGGGGTTCCCCAGGGATGGCTTAGAGGAGGGAGGCGCCCAACCCCCTGGCCCAGGACAGCGGCTGTCTCCCGTGCGGAACTGACCGAGCCCTGGGCTTTCTGTTCATGATTCCCTGAGAAGAAAAGGCGACCGAGCTGGCCTATTCCTTTGGGGGTTTCTCTGCTGCTTCTTGTAAGAGCTGGGACTTTCACAAAGGACAGGCAAGGTGGACGTTGCTGCCAAACGTGACAGAGAACCCCGAGGTCACTCTGCTTTTTAGGGAACACTCCTGCCTCTGGCCACACAGACCAGCTTGTCCAGGTGTCTTCTGCTCACAACCCCCAAGTCACACCACACACCTCAGCGCTGGAGAGAAGAAAGAGGCGCTGAAAACACGCACTTCACCCCAAAACTCCAGCCCTTGCTACCAGCTCTCGTGGGACGCGTGAATTGTCACCAATGTCCCTAGAAAGATGTGCCTCGTGTGTTTAATGAAACAAGCTGGGGCCCATCTCAGCATGTGGAGGTGACGGTTATGAACGTGATAGCTCTCAGTAGTCCCCTCTGTCACTTATGATGCAGCAGACAGCAAGGGACAGAGTGAGGAAATCAAAACCAGGAGTCGTACTGGGGGGACGGGGGCCCTTCCAACAGTCAGTAGCCAGTGACCACCTGTCCGCTCCTCTCCCTGCTCCTTTCTACAGTGCAGCTGATGGGAACTCAGCCGCCCTTTCCAAAGGTGTCCCTTCCCGGTGGCAGATGGACAGAGTGAGAGGGCTGCCCAACCAGGGCAGCGCAGCCCACCTGGACTTCCGCCCCCCAGCCAGGGATCGCGCTGTGTGCCCACTGACGAAATGAGCCCCAGCCCTAAGTCAGACGTGCACGACAGCCTTCTGTCCCCCGGGCCTCAGGTGTGGGCACCATTTGCCAGAGGATTCGGGGGTTAGCCCAGCTCCTCCCACTGTGGACTGTCAGAGAGCTAAGGTTGGGAGACACTCCTGCCTCCGGCCACAGGGACCGGGCGGTTCGGCCCACAGCGGCCGTCCAGGGCGGCAGGCTGCAGTATAGTGTAGGAGGTGGGGGTGCTGAGGCCTGGTTCCGCTCAAGGCACCACAGCGAGCCAGCTGTGCTGCTGCAAACAGCATTACGACGGGGAACACAGTGGGCCCGTTCAGAGAGCTCTGCCTTTAGTAAAGCTCCATAAACAGCAGGAGGTAGTCAGTAATCATCAGAAGGCACTTGTTAGTTGTTGAAATGCAGCCAGATCTTTCGAGATGTTTCTGCCCCGTGTGTGAAACGCTTGCATGAGTCACTCAGGGAAAGGAGCGGATCCCCAGGAAAGCCTAAGCCTACTCCAGGCTCAGGGGGACAGAGGAACCCACGAGGCCGAGGGGGCGATTCAGGTGATTCTCCATCAAGAGGCTGTTTCAGGAATAACTGAGGCTGGAATACGAGGGGCCCCAGCAGGTCCGTCTAGGCACTGCCCTGGCTGCTGGTTGTCTTCTGTGTGTTCTTGCCTTCGCTGTGCTCTGTGCCCTGGGGACTCTCCAAGACTCTGTCCCAGCTCCCTCTCTTACAGTCTAGAGCCTTCTGTGCCACCTTGGGAAGGTCCAGACCCTCACCCACTGCAGAGCCAGCTTCTCGTCCTCAGACCAGCACTCACTGGTCACTGCCAGGGAGGTGACCTGTCCCCTGCCCCTCACCTACCTCCCAGCTGTGTAATACACACAGCATGAGTGACAGGAGTTGACTACCCCCACCGCTATCAAAGAGGAATCAGAGGTCAGAATTCATAGCCTTCCGCTCATTCGCCTTAGAGGGGGACTGTTGGGTTCCCAGTGGACGCTCGCCCCACACAGCTGGTCCTGCCAGCCATCTTGGAGATGAGGGCAGAGGCCGGCTTCCTGCCTCATGGAGCGAGCACACTCAGGAGGCCAAGGCTGTGGGCTGTGAAGACAGGTTTGCCAGCCCTGGCTCCGTGTCTGCCCGGCCGAGAGGCCCCACCCGTGCCGATGGCCACGAGGTCACCTTGATTCAGAAAGTCCCGCGACCTCCCGCGTTTTAGGCAGAGCTGATGGCAGACAGAAGGACAGCTGAAGTTCTAACCTGCTCTCTCTTCTCATCTCACGCAGGGACGGATCTGCAGGAAAGCCGGCAAGTCAAAAAAGTCCTTCAGTCGCAAGGAGGCCGAAGCCACCTTTAAGAGCTTGGTGAAGACTCACGAAAAATACGGCTGGGTCACCCCGCCCGTGTCTGACGGCTGACCGCCCGCCCGTGTCCACACGCACCGACTCCCTGACCTCTCCTCCCCACACTGCACACCCTCCATCCTTTTCTACTCCAGCCAGAACTGCACCCTGAATGCCAAGGAGGCTTGAAGTCATTTATGAACAAGTGCATTCACAGAGAGAAGGGAGCGGATGCCACTCGGGTTAGGTTTCCATGATAAATGAATGATCATCTCTAAGCGCTTTAGAACACATGTCGAGATGGTGACGTTCCCCAGCCTGCCCATCCCCGCCCTCCCGGCACCTGGCCCTTAGCTTCTTCCCATGACAGCAGTTCCAGCGAGCAGGCGGGAGCCTCGGTGCTCGCCAGCTCCAGCCCCATGTAAACGGCGCATTCCTGTTTCCTAGGAGCACCTCGCACTGCGGCCGGCCGGCCCCTGTTTGCTGTGCCCTGTGTCTGTGTCTCTCTTCCTGGCAGGTCAACACAACCTGAAGACGTGTCTTTCTTTCTGTGGCCTCTGGTCTGCTGTGACATCATTTAGACCTCATCCATGCTCTGACCTTCGGCTCATGAAAACAATTTAACATTGCCGGGTTCTAGTGATTAAGACCGCCCACTTGGTTACCTTGTGCTCTCTATGCTGATTGTGTGGTGTGCTGCTGTTCCAGATAAACCAGTGCCATTCCATGAGAGACAGGGACGCTGCAAACGCATGCCAGGTGCACCCCCTGGGGCTCAGAGCAGTGACAGAGACAGCGGTGTTGGTAGAGACGAGGAGACACTCCCACCGGCGGCAGCAGCGTGTTCGTGCTCCTGCCACCAGAGCAAGGACAGTCTCCCACTCATGCAATCATCTGACTCGTTGGACTGCGTGCTAGTGACGGGGAGACGGAGCTGCCAAAGGAGACCACGGGATCGCACCTGACTTGCATGGCCGGGTCTGTTTCCTCCCCAAGTAGTCACACTGTGTGTCCCTCACGGTTGAGATGCGGGCACCTCGTGTGGTGTAAACCTCCTGTTATTTAATCTCCCGCCGTTCCATTTTTCTCTTCTGTTAAGTTACTTAGAACTTTCTAAGAAACTCCATGAAATGAGGAAATAACTGTTTATAATAACTTGCGGAAAGAGGTAAAAATGTTCATTCCAAGTGGAAAATCTGATTGGACACATTTTAAATAAAATCATGCATACCTGACACACTGACTCAAGAATCCAATCATTGTGAGCTAGGCTTCCATTTAAAATATTTCATCTGCTTTATAAAATGTTAATATTCCAAAGACTGCAAACACCAAAACTTGTACTTCAGGAGCAACAGCTCACAGCCAGGAAATGCAGTCTTAGGAACCCACAGTCTTTGCAAAAATCTAACAGGTGGAAACAGTCCCATGGGGCAGCCAGGGAGATGAGGAGAATCTAAACTGAAAGCACCAGGGACATCTGGGTCAAACCCAAACCTCCCGCGGTGAAGGAAGAGGCCACTTCTGGACGGTTGCGAACAACTCTTCAGGCAGTTTCGACTCTCCGGTTGCTGTTCTCTTTGTTCCAGGGTTTTGGAGACCAGAGAGGCTTCGCCTCAAACAACAAGGTCTGCTCCTCGCAGAGTGACTGGGGATCAACCAAATCTATCCTTTATTGTTGTTCTTATTTCCTTACCCTTCCTTATTTGCCCCAAATACACAAATGCAGCTGCCAGGCTCCAATGACCCACTTGAGAAGGCCTGACCTCGAGCTCAGGTTCCCTGAGAGCGGCCGTGGTCAGGAAACTCGATGACAGTGCCTTGCAGCCTGACCTCTCTGATCCCCAACGTGGAATTCTCCAAGCTGGAACCAGTGAGGGGCTGATGGTCTTTGGCCCTGGGACTGTTGGTTGGGATGGAATTACTCCATGGGCATTGAAGACCTAGGGCAGAGACCTCTTCTCAGCTCAGGAAAGCACTTGAGTTTAGCAATTTCCAGGTGAAATTGAAAGCAACTTCCTTTTTTGTTTTTGAAAAAAATATTTATCCAAGGCTGCATCAATTTATTTTTTAATCAGCTGATTGGAAAATGTGTTCACCATTGTGTCCAGGTAAGCAGGACAGAAAAGTGCTGCCAGGGGACATGCCACCACCTCCGTGGGCTCCATTACTGCCCACAGCGAGGCAGGGAGACGTGCAGCTCAATCTCAGCCGTTCAGTGCACCTGGAATTTGGGTTATTTTGCTCAGCCTTTCCATTATGTTTGCTGGAAACCTACAGAAGAAATCAATTCTTCAGTGAAAGAAAAGCAATTTTTCATTTAAATAGAAAGAATTCCAAAATTTCAAAGCAGTGACAACGTAAAACATGCCTATTGCTGTGAGTCCCTATCTGGCATCCTGCATCATGGCAGGACACTAGGGGACCCTGTGTCCACCGCACTCTGGTCCTATCATATCTTGGCCAGGAGCCTCACTCTTCCCCTCTGCAGGAGATGCCCCCTGTGGACCCAGTGGGAGAGGAGACTTATGCTCTGTGTCCTGGGGTTATGTTCCCACAACGCCAAAAAAATGGATCCCTCTTCAGACAGACGGCAAGGTGATCACTGGAAGGAGATGTTCGCATCTCACATTCTCCATTAATCAGCTGGAACGCAAATCAAGCCAGAGGCTGCAGATCCAAAGGAAGAGAAAAATACCAACTCCGATGCTTCCCCAGCTCCCAAACCCCTGCCCCTCCCACAGCTTTCCCCGCGGGCCAGGCCATGACAGTGACCGCCTGGTTCCTGGGCATGTTCTCCAAGGCCTTCCAAGGCCGAGGGGAGGCTCTGAGGAACTTATCAGCGGGCCTGTTACCCACCCCTTACATGACCCAGTGCTGCATGAGGGGACACAGTCTCCCTCATCCATTACTCACATACACCAGGCTTCAGGCCTCCGTTTCAGCTCCCAAGTTCATCCCATCTATCAAAATTCAACTTTATTTTTTGAGAGATAAACCTACAGACCAGGGGAAAACACCTGGGATTGAGAGGCTGAAGCCCAAGTCTGCCCCAGGTTCTGGCGGGTCACATCACCCACCTGCACCTGGCTTTCTCTGCTATAAACTCCACTAGACCCACTCAAATGACGGGGGCAAAGTGCTCGTGAAACCAAAGACTGCTGTATGAATTTAACACCCGAGTTTCGCGGTACCAGGAAATTTATATCACAATAACAGGCTTTAATTAGAACACACTTGGAGACCTGCTCAGAGTGAATAATTATAGAGGTTAAAATGCAATTATCATGTAATTACATTCTTGCTTTTCATCCCCAGACCTCTACATTCTCACTCAGCCACTGGCTCCCCACCCAGTCCGCTTCCCTCCTAGAGATGGGCAATCAGAGGAGTTAAGGCACGTCTCAAGACACACAGGAAACGGCAGCCAGGGAGACACGTGCACAGCTGCCCTGCAGAAACCACAGGCCCGAGACTTCCTGACTCCTCAGCAGGAAGATGTGGTGGAGGAGTCAGGGGTGAGCCACAGCTGGGCAAAGGGAAGGAGAGGGCGGCTGCAGAAATGGGACAGGCTGGGGTTTCCCTAGAGCCCTGAAGGGCGGAGATGGCGGTCACTGGCTCCCTGTGCAGGGACTGCATGTCGTCGTTTTATCAAGACCCCTGAACAGCAGGTTTGAATGGAACTTTCTTTCTGGGGAAAGAAGACCGTGTCTTGACCACAGGGAAGGTAGAGCCACTGCATCTGGGAGGCCACTTGGCCAAACTTCATGCACTCTATAGTGAAGGGGCGAGTGGCGAGGTCACCATCTTGCTGTGGCTGATCCTTCATGATGCACCTCCTGAGGTCATTAGGCTGTTCCTGTGGCCCACACTCAAGCACACACCTTCCTCCCACCTTCGGGTCAGCACAGCCACAGGCATTCCAGACTGTCTGGGGAACACTGAGGTGATCCATTCTGTACCGAAAGCCAGTAGGTGCACAGGCAGGGACCTGACTGCAACGGCCCTGGGAACTGCAGGGGGGCACTCTGAGCTCAGCCTGCATGACCCCCGCCAAGTTGAAGACATTAAAATGGCCCATGGCTCTGCTTCTCAGTTGTAGGCCTTATTTTTCCAGTTTTTGCAGCCTCCAGTTCACACGTGTTGAGCGTCTCTCATCCCCAGGGCCCATCTGGCCCGGAGAACATGGCCAGTGAACTGGAAAGGACAAACAACAGTGAGTGTTGACATTCGGCAAGGCAATACGTGATCTTAGCTTGGTTCCAGAAGAAACGGGAGCAAACTGTGCTGGCCGAATAATCATCATCAAAACAGAGCACTTGAAGAGCGCGTAGGTGCAAATAGAAGCAGGATTCTCTCTCGAGGTTGTAGCGGAGCTAGACAAGCAGCAGTGGCTGGAAGGGTCTGGGGCAAGGCCATCCTCCTGGGCCCGGGGGCCGTACGGAGCGCGGTGTGGTTTCCCGCTGCCGACTCACCCTGTTTCTCTCGCAGAGTTGAACTATGCCACTTGTCGACACACAGGCATTCTGTACCTCTAGATCTTGGGCCATCACTGGTCATGACATTAATGGAGCTGAGATAGAAACTGCCATACGCCGATGGGCTGGGTCTCATTCTCGCTTGCCTTCTCCGCGAATGTGATTCTATGTCATGAATGTTGTTGACACTTTGACAATGGTAGGATGCTAACTGAATATCATGTCCACTTTCAGGCCATCGGCGCAATTCACAGTGAGACTGCCGAGTGTCCTCTTTCTAGAGGTATCCTATCCTGTAATCCTCAGAAGGAGGGAAATCAAAATGCATGTGCCATAAAATAAGAAGGAAATGTTTAGCATCGATCTTAGTTTGGTTCCAGAAGAATGGTGAGTGCATGAGTCAAACCATCTAGAGGCACTGCCCCAATTGGAAAAACGATTTGGAAAGCAAGCCTTGAAACCCAATAAATGTCTTTCTGTGGAACGCTTGTCGTGTGCTCGCATGGTCTCTGCCGGGGGCTGTCAGGGCTCCTCTGGGTCTCTGTAGTCTGTGGTGGGTGGCTTTCCGCCATGTGGGGCCCTCTGATGGTTCCTGCTTTGATTGACTTGTGGTTTGCCAAGTGAAAACTTTGAAGTTTGTCGCCAGGATCCTCCATAAAAATCAATGAAATGCAACCGAACCGTGTGATGAGGTCTCTTCTGCTGCCACCTGCACTGTAAAGGTTTGTAAAAGTGTTTGCCAGAGATTCCCAGTAAAGTTTCTCAACATAATTGAAATACTGTGCTTAGCCCAAAACTCTAGCCTAAAATACTCCCGAATTACAGATACTTCTTGGGAAAATGTACGGAGGAACAATTCCAGAAAGTAACAATTTTCAAAACTCTTCAGCATAATTTATGTAAAAGGCACTTGAGCTCATTTACCACACTGGTGTGCAAGCTGGGTTCAGTTTTATCTTAAACTGCTTACTGGAGGAGTTACCTGGTCAATACTCAGGACAATCTCTGGATGGAGAGCACACTTTTCCTTTAAAATCTGAATACAGTATTTCGGTATTGAACGGGCATCAGTCTTGGAATCTAACAGCCTTGATTCACTCTCCTCCTCTTGGCGGAGAAGGGTAAGGGGCTTAGTCCACACACCCCATTTCTGCTTCCCAGACTTAAATTTTAAAGTGTTTTAAAGCTCCTGCTTCCCACTACAATCACTGGGGCTGAGGGCCAGGCAGGGTTGCAGTGTTTGAATGTTAAGGGGACACAGACATTCAGTTCATCAAAGACCACAACACCAGAAAAGTAGTTACTATCAGGGTCACAACAATAAGCAATCCCCCTGTGCAACTGGGCCTCAGTGGACAACCTTGGAAGGGGTCGGGAGATAGACTTGGTGCAGGCAGGTGACGGCTGGAGTGACTGTTGGGTCTCCTCTCAGGCTGCTCCCTTCTCCCCAGGAGAATTGCACCCTTTCCTTTGGCAAAAGCACGGGAGTTGCACCAGCAGCAGGGCCTCACCTCTGAGCTCCAGGGGTGAAGGAGGCAGGGTGTGCTCGCTCACACTCTCCCGGAGCCTAAGAGCTGACAGGTCGTGGCCTGGTCACTGTGTCATAAGGCCAAAAGTGGAAAACTCAAGAGGATGGACCCCGGACACTGACACTGACCCTGAAGGCGTGTCCGAGGGAGCAGGACAGCTGCAGGTGGAACCGGACGCATAGCTTGCTCCGGGCTCTGCCTCACCTGCCCTGAGGTGTGTGCCTTAAAGCGCTCTGTTTCCTCACCACAACACATGCTAGGTGTCCCTGGAAGCAAGCTAGTTTTACTTAAGCTGGGGCAAATGACAGCCGTATTGAGGTAGATGTACACACACTGTTTGCCAAGTGGAATTCAGATAAGTTGTGTTTGCTCAGCTTTCCAGTGGAGGAATTGGGTGCAGCCGTGACGTGGTTGGCCAGGACAGAGGCCCCAGGGTCAGGATGTGGCAAGTTTGAAAGTCCAACTTTTTAACTTATCTCAGAGCACTTTTATAAGAATTTATTGTCTAATAAATAATATCAAAGGTGAAATCCAGTGACAGGATTCTAAGCAGCTCGAATGAGCTTCCCTCCAGGAAATCTTTTTGCTTCTCTGCCTACACTTGCTAAGTCTTTAATTGCTCCAAGGCCTTTGGAGCCATCTTCTGTTTTTATCTCTGTGGGCAACACTGCAAGATGGATTTAGCAGACCGCAGCTTGCAGCCTGTAGACGGGAAGTGAACATTAGATTCAATGGATTCTTCTAATCTGATTTTACTTAAACATGGTCAATTACTTTTCCTTGTCACTAAAACATTACATTAAGTTGATCCTAAAACAACATCTAAATCTCTAATTTGGAGGGACATTCTGAGCAGCAACTCTCCAAAATTTGCCTTTTTTCAATAGCAGGAAATTTACTATTTGCTATTGAAAGTTCTTCATACTTTCATCAAGTTCTACACACACACACACACACACACACACACACACACACACTCTGCTGGTTTGTGTGATCTTATTCTCATTGTTCCACGGTTTTCTTCTTGCTTTATTCTGGCTTCTGCAATCGATGGTGTTGTTTTTCCATAAAACATGAATGTGCAGAATAGCTCCGACTTCCCTTCTCTTCCTCTCTGTGGCTGAGGGTCTCTAGGACCTTCGCTCACACCTGTGAGGGCTCTTGAGTCCTGTGTCACTTGTACGGAGCCCTGGATTTCACAGCCTCCAAGGATCAGATGTCTCCTGTTCAAATGCTGGGAATAGAAGCTGCATTTGGTAAATAATAGCTTAAAGCATCGGAAATAAAGCAAGGCTCTGACTTCTCAACTTCATGTCATTATTTATTAAATAAAGTAACTGGAAAGAGCCACAGAGATCACTGGGAAGAACTCCATCATTGGATTTGGTTGGGTCTGTCCCAGGCTCAGGCCTCAGCTCAGAGACTGTTCAAACACACTTCTATCCCAGTACATGGAGGGTTGCAACCTAACCCATCCCCATGGCTTCCACTAAGGATTCTCTGTGACAGGGACATAGCAAAACCTAGAGGCCTCACTTCTCAGGACATTTTAAGGCACAGAAAGTTACATTCAGATCCAGGGTCTTCAGCTAATATATTGTGATACTGGGAGCAGAAATGAGAACCCTGTTCCCCCTGGTTACACTGCTTTGGAAATTCAAAATGTATCTACATAAACACACGTGAGATGCAGCTAAGAAGTAGGCATGATCTTGGAATGTGAAGGAAAATCATGTATATATGCATGTAATTATACATATAAATGATGCACATGTAATATGGAATGTGTGTGTATGTGTGTGTATTGAATAGTGGCCCAAGAGGATATATTCATGTCCTAAAACACAGAGTCTGTGAATGTGACTTATTTGAAAAATTAGTCTTTGCAGATGTAACTAAAGATATCAGAATGCTAAGATCACCCTGGATTTAGTCTGGACCCTAAATCAATGCCAGGTCCTTACAAGAGAAAGGAAATTTTGAGAAGCAGAGATAAAGTTGGGAAGTCCCAGGAAATGGGTGGACATCACTGTGACACTCCATACCCCAAGAGCACCAAGGGCCTCCCTAAAGACAACCGTGTTACACTCTGTTCCTGAGAACTCTACAGGCAAATTTCTGTAATTTTAAACCACCGTGCTAAAAAGTACCTCATGGGAAAAGAATAAAAGGAAGAAATAACTTCTCCCAGTGAGCAGAGCATGCTCACTTCAAGCCGTGTTCTCTCATATAATTATTTAGTCTGACTGTGGAGGACACAAATTTGCTTAAAATATAACTTAGTTTGTCAGAATCTGTCTGTTTGGGCTGCTATAACAAAGAATAAAGGATTGGTGGCTTAAACAATTGACATCTATTTCTAATAGTTCTGGAAACTGAGAAAGTCACGGTCAAGATGAAGGAGTCTGCAGATTCTCTATCTGGAGGAGACCCCCTTCCTCATTCTCATCTGGTGGAAGCAGAACACTCCGGGCTCTCTCAAAATGGCACTAATCCCATCACAAAGGCTCCCTCTCAGAATAATCCTGATTCCCTCCCAAAGCTCCTGCCTCCCATTACAATCACTGGGGCTGAGAGCCAGGCAGGGTTGCAATGTTTGAATGTTAAGGGGACACAGACATTCAGTCCATCAAAGACCACAACATCAGAAAAGTATTTACTATCAGGCTCACAACAATAAGCAAAGGTCTTTGTTGATGGCTGGAGAATTGCATCTGAAACACACTGAACCACTTTCAAAGTGCCACTCAAACCAGGACCTCTTCAGATGATGGACTTCCTGTTTTGGTCCAAAGGAAGCATTAACCTCCAAAGGAGTTCCCACCCCGACTAGGAAGGAGTAGAAATGATGGTCAAGGGGAAATTTGGATTCTCTTGGGGGCCCGATTGTTGTGACATGACTCTTTGAGGGTAAGGATCAAATGGGATAATTCTTTTGATTCAATTTATTGGGAGTTTCTGGTTCATTTGGTTAATCATTTCTTATTTTTTTGTCTGTTTGGACTTGCCTTTAGAGTCTTCTGCCATAGAGCTGGTATAGTAATGAAGGCCATTTTGCTTATCTTGCTTGGGTGGAAGAAGTCAGAAACCACATGGGATGCAGGAGATGGATGAATGATGGATGAAGTGGATGTGCAGGTGGGTGGATGGGTGGGTGGATGAATGAGTGGGTGGATGGAGAGGGTGGATGGTCGATGGATATATAGGTGGAGTGGCTGGTTCAGCCTGACCTCTGGCTTTATGTGGAAACAGCCTCTATTTTCCCCTTCTCACCTCCAGCAGGATTGATCTTTCCATGGGGCCTTATGTTCTTAGGCTGTGAGGTCCAGGGAAAGGACAGACAGGCAGATCCTCCTGCTTCCAGAGCACCGAGTCCAGAGGCACCCGGGAGCGCTCTGGCCTCGTGGGAAAGCGCCCCAGCTCACCAGTCCTCGGGCTCCTCTATGTACCAGGGCAAGGCTCACACCAAGAGCTCCACTTGCCTCTGCCTTAGTGTCCCCTCAGGGTCCAGGTGGTCCAGACCAGAATTTAGTGTCCAGTCCCATTTGTCACATTCTTAATCACCTAATCCCTCAAAAGATACTAGTAATGCTAACTCAAAAATCTCAGGCATATGGAAATGTGTACTTTTGGCTTCATGTCATGCCAAAATTGCTGTTTGGGCAAAAAATAATAAAAAATGTAAAATAGAAATTGCTAGATACTATGCTTCTGTATCAATTTGGTTCTTACATTTTTTTCATTCTTGTTCTTTTAATAAGACTTTTCGTCTATCGTTATTGTCTACTGGTAGAACAGGGTTTAAAATTTCACCCTCTTAGGACACTTCTGCCCTACTTCAAATATACCTTAGAAGCACAGAGCAGGGTGTCCCTCTTCTCCTAAGTCCCTGGGTTCTGGGACAGAAGGCCACAGGTAAACACTGGGTCTTTTTACTGGATGTTCTCTGGCACAT